ATTATTCAAAAAAAAAAAAAAAACACTCTCTTCTAACAACTCTCCATTTTCCATTTTCAAAGAATCTTTGAAAAAGAAAGGAAAGAAATCTGCATTTCCAATTCTCCCAAGGCCAATGGCGTCAATTTCTCTGTTCCGGCACCGATCGCCAACTGCCTTCAGTAACCTCCTCCGCTTCATCTCCCCCTATCACAATCGCAGCCACTTCTCTGTCATCGCTTCCAAACACCAAAATCCCAACAACGTCTCCAGAAAACCCCAACCGGACAAGAATATCCTCCGTACCAAACACTTCTTCAAGTACTCCTCCCTAGCTCCGGTTCTCTCCCCACACGACAAGCCCTCCCTCGCCGACTCACAAGCAATCGGCACCGTTGCGGCTGCCCAGGCCAACTTCATGCGCGTCATTGTTCAGGAGGGACAGGAACTTCAAGGACCTTCTGGAACCTCCACATCATCGAGAATCGGAGTTGAGCTGTTGTGCGTGGTTAAGGCTGTGCTCAAAAAGATAAAGAGGCGGGTGCTGGTTGGGGACAGGGTGTTGGTTAGCTCAATTGATTGGGTGGACCGCAGGGGCATGATTGAGAATGTGTTCCAGAGGAGTACAGAGATCCTCGACCCTCCGGTGGCGAATGTCGATCATTTGCTGGTGCTTTTTTCCATGGAGCAGCCAAAGTTGGAGCCCTTCGCACTCACAAAGTTCTTGGTCGACGCTGAGTCCACTGGCATCCCCCTCACACTTGCGTTGAACAAATCGGAGCTGGTCGATGAGGAGGTAGCAACATATTACTTCCTTCTGTTATTGATATTGAAAGTTTTGTTTAGTTAAACCCGATGCTGCTTGGTTTGATAGCTTTGGCGTATTTGTAAAATTTTGTATGTGAAGTAATGTTATCATATTTGATTTCACTTATTAATCTTGTCGTTTCTTGCTGCTAATAGCAGATGGAAAAGCAAATACATTCTCTTCTTTTATAAACATTGCTAGGATTAAAGTGCCAATAGTGCTACAATGGAGATTTACAGAAGACACGGGACATTATGTTCATTAGCTTATTGATAATATATATTTTACCTTATGTTTGGAATTTTTAAAATTAAATCCATATGAAATCTGTTTCAAAATGATTTCATATAGAACTGAGTTAATGTCATTTCAATTTTTATCAAGTTTAACGGAATTTGGAGGAATAAAAGTCTGAAATATGTTTTGCATTTTTATTTATGTATTTGGAATATAATGTCTGTGCCTCCTTTTAATTCCAAAAGATCAAAATTCATTTGCAAATGAATTCATTGTCCAATCCAATTACATAGAAACTGAAATTTTGATGTTAGTATGTTTCTGACAAAGCCTTACTTCTTTTAATGTTAACATAAGAAGTATGTCAGGAACTCTAAATATGCCTGTTTTCTACTTTAAAAAATGAACGTCTTCATGTCTTTGCTTGTCTGATGCTTTACTGTTGTTTATGGTTTTGTTTTCATGTACAGACCCTTGTTTCATGGAAGTCTAGGTTGTGTAGTTGGGGCTATGAACCCCTTTTCTGCAGTGTTGAAACAAAATATGGGCTTGATTCTGTTGCATTTTATTTGAGCGATCAAACCACCTGTGATTGTGTCCAAGTGGAGTGGGGAAGTCTAGCTTAATTAATGCTTGAGGAGTGAGCATCGCACTCTGGTGCTGCAGAAGAAGATAACTGGTTTGAACCTGTGAGTTCGATTTCTCTCTTCTCCTAAACTTTTTCTTCTTTGTTGCTTTAGCAGGTAGCTGGAAGTACCTTACAAATTCTTCTTACTATTCTTGTTTTTAGATTTTGGGAAGCAAATGGTTTGAGGAACAGCGAGTTGGGGAAGTTTCGACGAGGAGTGGGAGAGGGAAGCATACTACTCGCAATGTTTGTTTGTTACCATTATCTGGAGGGGGTTATCTTGCTGACACTCCTGGGTTTAACCAGCCTTCTTTGTTGAAAGTGACCAAACAATCTCTTGCCCGAGCCTTTCCTGAGGTTACTTCTCTTAGTCTCATGATCATCAAATGCTTTACAAAATTTATTTTGCTTGATTCGTTTCACTTGACTCATTACTAATCTTTCAGATGCTTGTCCATGCATATTTTTCTAAAATGAGTGTGCTTCCATTCTCTTCAGATACAGAAAATGCTCAAAGCCCGTGAGCCTGCCAAATGTGCATTCAATGATTGCTTGCATGTTGGTGAACCAGGCTGCATCGTGAAAGGGGATTGGGAAAGATATCCTTACTATTTCCAACTTCTGGATGAGATCAGAATCAGAGAGGAGTTTGAGTTGAGAACGTTTGGAACCAAAAAAGAAGGTGATGTAAGGTATGTGGCAGTGATCATGTTTTAAGGAAATGATCTTCCTAGCTCTAGATTTTGTTGTAGTATATATATCTTTAATGAGTTTATATGTATACATATACATAGATATATATATATATATAGGATGCAGTTCATTCCCTATTGACAAAAAACAATAGATAAGTTTTTGGTTGGCGGAGTGAGGTCCGTATATCATGTACCTTGAGTAATTTTGCTTTGCTTTCTGAGCAGAATGATGTCTACATATGTACAAACATAGAACCTCGTGCCCATTTCTGTTGTTTCCTTAATTATGGGATAGAACGTAGAGGGTTTCGATTGCTGGATCCTATTTCTAATAGTTTATTTACATCTTGATATGTCAATTTTTGAAGAATACTATATTTTCATCACTGTCAAAATTCTATCACTCATTCAATACTA